CAATAAGTGAGGTTTAAATGGGTTGATAACAAGTTTTTATTTCAAGAGATACGATTTTCGTGTCTCCAGGAAGCTTACTACAACTAAATAGATAAACATTTTAGTGCATCTTTTCCCAAATTTCTCTCTTTTTATATCAAGAGGAAAAAAGAGGAATTTTTTAAATATTACATGTTGATTTTAAGAAAAATTTGTCTTTAAAAGGAATGAGGGAATTTAAGGAAGAATGTGTAAGGCGAATGTATTGTATCTTGTTGAAAGAAAATATTTAAAAATAAATGCTAAAATAAATGTAAAAAAATGTACTTTTTGTATTAAATATATTCTTAATAAAAGACTAAATATAGTATATAACGGGATTTTTTACAATATTAACAAATAAACATTTTCGCATAATTTTGTGCCGTTTAGCTAATGCTGACATAAATCGCATCGCCAAAATATGCAGTCCATTAAAGGCAATTATGAACTATTACTAGAGATGGATGAAGCAGAAACTAATTCTTCTTTTCTATCGACACTTGGACATTACTATTAGTCAGTAGGCTTAGGTTATCAGTACTTGTAGACATACAGAAACTATATTATATTTGTATATAAAATTAGTTGTGTGATTTTCTTCGGTTATTGTAAGTTTTTTTTTAAGACAGGTTTGAATACCATGATTTCAACATTTGTTATCTGAGATATATGTAGTACAAATAGCTATTGTTATAAAGTTTTTTTTCCGCTAATACAATAAAAATACAAGCATTTATCTTCTTATGAATTTAAAACTATAAATATAAAGATGAAATTTGCTCACCCCACCCAATTGTCAATACTATCATTTAAAAAAAAAAACATTTTAAAATGTTAAATCAAGGAAAAACTGCAGCTTAACCCATCAAATATTTTACAAAAGGTTAGATTAGAGTTTAGAAAGTTTAGAACTCGAGGAGCAGAGTTTCAGACGTCAATATCTACTTTCGACTTTAATGTAATAGATTAGATTAGGTTGGAGTAGCGGCCTTGAGCCCAAAGCTCACTTAAGCTCAAATAATGGCCCTTTGTTGCACGACGAACTAGTGATTTTCTTCCGGAGACTAGAGGTCGGTGTACGAGCAAAGCCACATGGCATGACTCCTCCATTCAGGTAAAAAGAAACAGAACTGAAAATTTTTTAAACTTCGCCAAGTCCCTAATTTGGTAAGATGGCAGCTTGGTTTTATCGGTAATAAAAGCGGCCACAAAAATTCTAGATATCTTCTAGCCTATGATGACCACTAATACATGAGATGAAGCACAGTTTGCTTCCCATCCAAAAAACCACACCACAACAAAAATCATTATAAGGTAGACACAGTTTCATAGCATAGTGTTGAGCAGGTTACACTATAGGTAAAGCAACTGATTAATATATTGACCAGTTTGGATCAAGTCAATCTTAAGATTTGAAAGCAATGTTCATCTATTAAATTTTGTTTAGCTAAGCTCAGATATTTTTATTTGACTGCTAGCTTAGCCATATAGAGTGAACTCCAATAACTAAGAAATGAATTTCAAGAAGTACAGTACCTACCTAGATAACCTCGTCCGCTCTACAGTTGCTCGAGATGTACCTGTGTGCACGTACCTATGTGAACTGGGCACTCATGCGCCTAGTTAGCTCATTAAGACAAGCCTAACATTCTCAAATTGTAAAGCATGTTGCTTTAGTACCTACCAGAAATTTAATGGCATCTTGGCTCTTTTATTTTAAATGAATACAAGTAATCTGTGTATATAACATAACCAATCCATTAAAGTTCATTCACTTTAAGATTGTTATTTTAAATTTGATGATTTATTTTTATGTTACTAGATAGACAGGCGTTAAAGAAAACATCTATGTAGATATTGGCTATGCCTTTCATTGACATCCAGAAATTTGTAACTAATCACATTGTAGAATTCATCACTTACTATATCACACTAATATTGATAAAGTCAAACATTAAAATTCTCCAAATACAGACTAAAAATGCAGAAATATGCCGTAGTAAACCTTTGTGTAATATTTATATTTCTATGTATAAACAACGTGTTTCGTATATGGAAAATAATAAATATAGTTCTATTAATTCTTTTAGAACCATAGATATATATAGAACTATAACATTATTGATATTATAACAGTACCTAACAATAGTTCAGTGCCAAATTTTAAAAGTTTTATTAAAACGATCCTAACTCTTTAAAGAAATTCACCAAGTAACTAACTCTTTTACTGGAAAGAGCAGTATTGTAAGAACATAAATGTTCTGATCTCTCATAAAGATAATTTCAGATTAGGTACATACTTATCAGACAATGAAGAACCTAAGCAGAATTAACTTCTTAGAATTTGAAGTTTGAATTCTTCTTTGTCATAATTTTGGGACATTTGCTTTGATATGTGACAGATTTGTTCTGTCTGCAGATATATTCTCCGCGTTTGTAGTGATTTTTTATCTAATAAAACTATTAAAACAGAATACAGGAATCTCTACCAATATTATGAACAACAAAAAGTGGTACCATCCCTGGCCAGTAGTATTATCACAATTGAAAGCAATGTTATAACATTAGTGTCTATATTCCGACATTTACAGAATTTAGTACACATTTGCCCAAATTATTTGAAAGATTTTTATTTATTTTTTTTGTTCATTAAAAAATTTTCCAATTTCAATTTTAATTAAAATATTTGTTCGGCAACTTTTCTTGCAGCAACTTTTCTAAGCAACTTTTGTTGCTAAACAAATTTAATTATAAAATTTGTTTACTTATAATTAGAAATGTTGTTCTTATAACATTTTGACATATTTGTAAGCGATTTCATTAACTAAAGTAAAAGTGTGTTCATATGCAACATACAAAAACCCATACGTTAGCGCAAAAACTAAATTTGTCAAAGTTTTTCACGGGTTTTTAGACGCTAACACCTTTTCGGTTTTGTATGGAAGTATGTACGAGCATCTGCAATTTAAGTACTAAACGCGATGCACTCAGTCTCAGATAAACGGCGCACACCAAAAACAGCGACACCACATTATGACAAACTTATTGAAGTGCTTTTGTTCTGAAGTTCCATGCGTGAAACCCTCCACAAAGATACTTTCATACACCCAAAATCCTGTCAAAGCAATTAATTTCGTCAGTTGCTTTGTTAATTAAATTACATTCTCTGTTGGTTTTAGTTTTCGGTTTTCTGCTTAAATATGTGGAGGGAAAAGGGTCTGATTCAAGTTAATGTGAGTTAAACAGCCTCACTATGTGAAATTTAAGTATAAAGATAATTTTATTCAAATGAAATTTTACAGGCTTTTATACTGAACAGTGTTTTATTAAATACTATATATGAAACACATGAAATTTAGGTGTTCACATTTACAACTAATTAAATTCATAATTTTTTAAATAGTAAAGTTTACTAATTGCGATTAACGAAAAAATGCTACAAAATACCATACTTTAAAAAATTATATTAATTATAAACAAAAACATTAACCATAATAATTTTTTTTCTTGTATTTCCTTGATAATTTATTACAATGCAAATTTAATTAATTATTGCTCTTGTCGGGTAGCGGTAACAAGTTCCCTCCAGTGTGTTCGGTTTTGCACGATGCGCTTAATTTCACTCCAGGTACCCATGTGTCTGCTCTCCGCGTGCACTGATCGTATCCAGGTTGTCGCAGGCCTTTTTCTTCTTCGTGTTTCTTGTGGGTTCCATTTGAAAGACATTCTGGCAATGTCGTCTTCACTCTTCTTTAATCTACGACCAATTCAGTTCTATTTTCGTTTCTTTATTTCCGTGTTTATTGGTGTGCAGTTGACTAGGCGATACAGTTTCTGGTTTAAAATGGTGTTTGGCCAAAATATTCCGCATATTTTACGAAAGCATTTGTGTATAAAGATTTGTAATTTAACCATAATAAAAATACTATAAAAATCGAAAGATACATAGTAGTAGTAGTAGTAGTAGTAAATCAGACATTTTTGTTCTTGCAAGAACAATTGATAAGGGTAGAAAATGATTTATGACCACAATCTATATTCAAAACCTATAGAGGTTGCACGCAAAAGACTAAAAGAAAAAAGTAATAAGAATAATAAATAAAGTTTTTTAAGTTTTGACTAATATCGAGCAGTGTGATCTTTTTTGGCATTAAAAAATAGCAATCAGCAGTCATTAATATAACAAAATATTTTTTTGCTGAAACTTTTATTACAGATATATTCTATTAGTTGAAAAAATCTTCAACATTATACATTACTTACTTATTTACTTATATATATTTAAATGGACAAACTTATTTTCTTAGCTTGAATATATAAATGAATATAAACATAAGTTAAAGAGCCGATTAACAATACTAAAATAATAGAATAAAAAAATAATAGCTGCATTATATACACAGAATTAATATGAGAAAAAAATCTCTAAATACACATTTAAACATTTGAATAAAATAGACTGTTATAAACTTATCCTCGCGTACTTCTGTTTAAGTTATCTATGATTAAACTTGATAAAATACCCTGGATGAATATTTTGCAAATTGACATTTGCACTCCCCGTACAATTATTAAACTTGCTATAATTGATATTAATTAAAAACTAGCTTACGTTTGTGAATCGTTTTTAATAATTTAATCACCACAATAACAATATAATAAATAAATTAAAAATGTTTTATTTTTTCTTGCAATTGTCGTCTATACTCCCACACGTCACCTACTCTGCAATTGCATCCAACGATGTCACTAAATTAAATATTAATTTCAATATAAATTAACAAAAAGTCACAAATTAATTTTACAAATAAAATTTTAATTGTGCAAACAACAAACTAATTAAGAATTCCTTGTTTTAATTAATTTTAAATTAATTGAGTTTAACACATTAAAAACAAATTGCATAATTTTTGAATTAAATAATTGGTTTGAAATGTAATCTCATATTTCAAATTATTTAATTGCATATTAATCCCAACTATTCATGAAGTAATTAAATTTTTAAATTTAATAAATCTTTAAATTAATTATAGTAAAATTAAAAGTTCAACGATCGATTTCACCAAACACAATATCCAGTGAACCTATAATAGCCACTAAATCAGCCAAGAACTGTTTCTTTGATAGTTTATCAAGTAATGCCAGATGTGTGTAACTGGCGGCACGTATTTTGCAGCGATATGGACGATTTGTACCATTTGAAACCAAATAAACACCAAATTCACCTTTCGGTGACTCAACTGCGGTATATGTCGTCCCTGGTGGCACAAAGATACCTTGTGTGTAATACTTAAAATGATGTATCAATTGCTCCATGCCTTGTTTCATTTCTCGACGTCTCGGTGGTGTTATTTTGTAATCGTCAACCTTAATCTCACCCTCTGGCATCTGGTTCAGGCATTGATGAATAATACTGCAAGACTCACGCATTTCATGAATACGACACAAATATCGATCATAGCAATCGCCATTACTACCAACAGGTACAGCGAAATTAATTTCAGGATATGCATCATATGGCTGCGTTTTACGTAAATCCCACTTTATGCCGGTAGCACGTAAAACTGCACCAGAACATCCATAATTCATTGCCTCATGTGCTGTTATAGCACCAATTCCTATATTACGCATACGCCATATACGATTATTAGTTATTAGATCCTCCAATTCATCTAAACGTTCTATAAATCCTGCTGCAAAAACATACAGATCATCACTAAAACCCATTGGTATATCGAAAGCCACACCACCCGGTCGTATATAAGCGGTATGCATACGTGCACCAGAAGCACGTTCACAGAACTCATACATTTTCTCACGTTCTTCAAATAACCAAAACAAAGGAGTTATGCCGCCACAGTCTAGTATAGCTGACCCAATCGCTACTGTATGATTCGTCAAACGCATAACTTCAGAAAATAAAGTGCGTATATATTTTGCACGCTTAGGCACTTCTATGTTTAGCAATTTTTCAATTGCCATAGCATAGCAAAGCTCATTCGCCATACAAGAAACATAATCCAACCGATCAAAATAAGGCAACGCTTGCATATACGTTTTATACTCTATCAGTTTTTCGGTACCACGATGTAATAATCCAATATGTGGGTCAGCACCTTCTACTATTTCGTTATCTAAATTTACTATGAGACGTAAAACACCATGTGCTGCTGGATGTGCCGGTCCAAAATTTATAAATTTAGTTCGGTAAGTGCGATCGGTTGGTATCGGTATAACATTTTTATAAATCGGTTTTTTACATATATTGTCTCCTTCAGGATACATAACAACACCGGACCATTTATTTATAAATTCAGGATCGGGATACCATATTTTCGGAGCCTTCTTAACAAATGGTTTTAGTTTCACTTCTTCCTTCTCTGGTTCGGGCTCCCTATCGCATGTTATTGTACAGTGAGGACGTATAGGTGGTACTATAAAAAGAAGACTCCTAGAAATATTGAAAATTTAACTTATAATATTTACATTTATACTTGTGCAGCATAACGTTAAGCAACAATTTTCCAAACTGCAATTTTACCACATCTTTTATTTGCGATGGATGCAAAAATAGTTGTATCTTAGGTCTATGCTTTTTAAATAGATCAGTACGTTTTAACTTTTCTAAAAAATATTTTAAAACTCCACCAACTTTAGACATTTTTGCTTTTTAAATTGAGGACTAAATTTTTTATTATTGACTTTATTTTTTTTTTTTAAATGAATTTTTTATTTGATTTTAAGGTCAATGCATTTAAAAATTTTGTTTCCAAAATTTATTACTGTAAAGTTTTTGTAAACTACTTTGCGTAGAACAATCGAACCTTAGAGTACTAAAAAAACTTAACATCTATCTCCAGTAATCAAAAAGTTTAATCACATAAAGTATATTTGTGCGTATCTTTTATCTTGTCTACGGAATTAATGATATATCATAAATATAACAATAAATAATAATGAAACAATCAAAAAATATTAACAAAACAATAACACCCAGATTTGCATCGCTAATTGCGACTGACAATGCAAATCGAATAAGATTACATCATATATTTAATTTCCAAAAATATTTTAGTTTTTACCTTTTAACTCATTGAATATCGACAGAGCCTTATTCTGAATTCGCATTTGGCTCAATGGCATTCTTCTTTGATTCTGATTTTCTATACAAATAAATAGAAGGGACTCAATTTTTACAATTAATGAACTTCTACTTTATGTAACTTGTTTGACCTCAAAATGTGTGACAGCTTTTGCATAGTCCTTTATATTGTCGGCATCAGGATTACAAATTGTTCTTACAGTAGTTGCAGCTAAACCCAGAATTCTGCCAATGTCAACAGGTTTTTCTGCAAGTTTAAAACGTTATAAAATCTCTAACTTTTGCTCCAAGGAAATTTGTTTTCGGTTTTTACTCATTTTTACATTTTACGAACAGGATGTATTAAAAATGCACGCAAATCGAAACACCTTCGATGTAATTTGAAGCCAAAACTTATTTTTTTTTGGCGACGCAAATTAAATTAAAGCAACGTAAATCGGGGTATTAGTGTATATAAACTAATTAAGATTCAGCGAATCTCCAAAAACTCACTGATAAACTTTGAGATATAAGATAAGCTACATAAATCTGATATATATTATGATGTTTAAAGACTATTTTGGGGTCAATATATATTGGTACATATATTATATCAATCAAAACTTTAAAAGTCAAAATTTCCTATAAAAATATAAAACAAACCTGTATGAACTCAATCGATCTCTTTCATTCAGTTGGGGTGAGCAAAATATGTACTTGTTTCTGACCCTGAACTACCTCAAATCTAGCATTCTTTTGAATTAACTCGACCTTTAGCTCGACTAATTATGTTGAATACCTACTAAATTCATGAACAATAAATCTATTATTTCCAATTGTTATTTAGAAATAAATAATATATTAATAGTAGTTTTAGTTTTTATATTAATTTTTTAAATATAATTATATTTTTTCATAATATATTACAGATTTTTGCTGACTATTATCACTTTACACATCATAAAGTATCTAAACGTTCGCTGTCACCCGCCTCAGAGCATCAGACACGATTGGACACTGATCATCGTGTGCATTGGGCCCAGCAACAAGTAGCAAAGTCACGTAGTAAACGAGATTTTATACGTATGCGACCGTCGCGTACATCATCACGCACACTTTCACTAGTGGATGCAGTTCCTTTCAGCGATCCAAAATGGTCGCAAATGTGGTATTTAGTAAGTTTAAGTCCTTTAAAGATTAACCATTTCTACTACAATGATTATTTAACACAGAATCGTGGTGGTGGCTTAGACATGAATGTCATACCAGCTTGGAAGGAAGGTATTACTGGCAAGGGTATTGTAGTAACTATACTTGATGATGGCTTAGAATCAGATCATCCTGATATAGAACACAATTATGTAAGTATAGTTCAATTAATGGTTGTACTATTAATATTATATTACCACATATTTTACAGGATCCTATGGCTTCATATGATGTTAATAGTCATGACAATGACCCTATGCCACATTACGATATGACAGACTCAAATCGTCATGGTACACGTTGCGCTGGTGAGGTAGCAGCAACAGCCAATAATTCTATATGTGCAGTGGGCATTGCATATGGCGCCAGTGTTGGCGGTGTCCGAATGTTGGATGGCGATGTAACAGATGCCGTCGAAGCACGTTCGCTTTCCCTCAATCCGCAACATATCGATATTTATAGTGCTTCATGGGGTCCAGACGATGATGGTAAAACAGTGGATGGTCCTGGTGAATTAGCTTCTCGTGCTTTCATTGAGGGTGTTACTAAAGGACGTGACGGCAAAGGTAGCATATTTATTTGGGCATCGGGCAATGGTGGTCGTGAATTAGACAATTGTAATTGTGACGGTTATACCAATTCCATTTGGACACTGTCAATATCTAGTGCCACCGAAGAGGGTCATATACCCTGGTATTCGGAAAAGTGTAGTTCCACATTGGCCACCACATATAGTAGTGGTGGACAAGGCGAGAAACAAGTAGTAACAACAGATTTACATCATTCATGTACTGTTTCACATACTGGAACATCCGCTTCAGCACCACTAGCAGCTGGTATAGCGGCGCTTGTTTTAGAATCTAATAAAAATTTAACTTGGCGTGATTTGCAACATATTGTTGTGCGCACAGCCAAACCTGCTAATCTTAAGGATCCCACATGGTCAACAAATGGTGTTGGAAGACGTGTTAGTCATTCATTTGGTTATGGTTTGATGGATGCGGCAGCGATGGTTAAATTAGCACGCACATGGAAAACAATACCGGATCAGCAACGTTGTGAAATAAATGCTCCACATGTAGACAAGTAAGATTTGACTCTTATGTAAATGAAAAAATTATGTAAATAATATTATATAAATTGTGTTATTGTATATTGTATGTACTGCTTACATTTACTTTTTCAGACCAATTCCGCCCATGAGTTACATCAGCCTACAACTGACTGTTAACTGTTCATCCGTCAATTATTTAGAACATGTGCAAGCTAAAATCACATTGACGTCACAACGTCGTGGTGATATAACATTATTCCTAATATCACCGGCCGGTACTAGAGTAACATTATTGACCTCTCGGTAAGTGTGTTGAATAAAATTGGAAAAAATATGCTCTGTTTTAAAAAAAATATGATGTATTAACGGAACAACACATTTTATAAAAAAATATAAATTTTTTATATAAAAAGTTATGTTAAATATGTTAAAATACTCAATGCCCTAAAACATATAGCATTCTAGATTAATGTCTTACAAATTATATTTTTTCAAATAAAAAATAATATTAAATCAAAAAAAAAAATATTTTTTCAAATAAAAAAATAATATTTTTTCGAATAAAAAAATAATATTTTTTCAAATACAAAAATAATATATTTTCAAATAAAAAAATAATATTTTATTACAGTATACATGATGTATCTCGCTCTGGTTTCAATCAATGGCCTTTCATGTCCGTCCACACTTGGGGTGAGTCCCCACATGGCAAATGGCAACTAGAAATACATAATGATGGACGTTATATGGGTAAATTATTACTTTTTATAAAAGAATATTATAAGTAACGAATTTATATATATATATATATATTATTTATTTATATATATAATATAAATATATATTATTTATTTTATATACATGTAAAAAATTTAAATATAATATTTATACTTAATGTTAATATAAGTCAATATATTTAATTCTCCATCCTATATACTATTTCATGCTGCATATACTAATAATGTGATTTTAACTTAAATCGTACAATAATCGTAATGTATGCTGGTAATAATATTTCTTGAAATATATATTAAAAAAATAAATACAAATTTAACAACGAAGGACATGCTCTATTGCGAGACTGGTCCTTAATATTTTACGGTACCACTCTACCAATCCACCCGAGTGATCCAGTGTCTACACCACGTGCCACTTTAGCAGAAAATACTACACCAAACTCGAGCACCATATCTACCACAACTAATTTACATCAAATTTATTCACCACAATATCCGCGTATTTCACCAAATAATTTCGGTACCGTCGGTTTCGGGCTTAGTGGCAAAATACCAATAAAATTTCCACCAAATAAATCGGTTTACAATGCAGCAACGAACGTATTGAATAATCCACTACAGAATGTTGCTGGTGGCAACAACAATCGGAAACAGCAGCAACAGTCGAAGCAACAACAACAGCAACAAACGTATCAGCAAATTTCAGCAACCTACGGTGTTATATTAGGCTCACAAAGCAAGAGCAATAATAAAGGCAACAAGGGCAATAAAGGCAAACCTGGCGAGAACAACAAAGGCAATAAGAACACAGGTAAAACTGCAACAAATAAGAAAGAGCAAACAACCCAAACAAGTGTAAATAACAACAAAAACAAATTCTATCGGATTTTGCAACAACAACAACAGCAGCAACAACAAAACACCAATAAATCAAATGCGAAATCGCAAAATGTAAACGCTACACGTGCTAAAATGCAATCGGCAGAGAAACTAAATTCCTACGAAGATAAATTGAATCGTAAGGTTATAGGTGACTTACCTATTGTAAGTACGAACCCGAAAACACCAATTAAATCAGTGGCCACACAAACTACGAGTTACACCAAGTTGCCGGTGAAAGCTACGAAGCAGATCAAAGAAAGCCAAACGCATGAAAAACTGACGGTGGCCACAGCAACGGATCAACGCATACCAAAAATGTTTGAACGTTACGAAAAAATACAAGCAATCTTCCCAGAATTTCAACCATATCAGGGACCGAGGGAGAAAGATGTGCAAAGTGCAAGCGCCGATAGACGTAATAAACAAATGCAAAACTATGAAGCTGAAACTTTCAGACCAATTTCATTACAAAAAACTTCTGGCAGCGGAAGCACGGGCAGCAATGGTAGTATTGGCTCTAAGCCTTCCAGAGAGAATTCTAAAAAATCTTCACAAAGCTTTGTACCAGATCAAAGAATAATTAAAAAACAGCAATTACTATTAGCAGCAGCTGCGGGCGTAAGTGGTGGCACGCAGCGGCCGATAAGCGTAGGCATTTCAGCGAATCGAAAGAGCACAAACGGTAGCCGAAAATGTTTCTTACAATTATTTTGATTTTTAGAAATTTTTTCAGTTCTTAAATTTTTTTTAAAAATTTATTTAATTTTTAATACACTTTTGGTTGAGATAATTTATTAGTTGATAATTGTCAATATATTTCATTTTTATTTTCAGTTTTGTTATGAACAAAGAAAATTTAGAAATCTAGTACCTATTTTAGCATATTCCCTTTAATTCCTTAATGTATTTACGTATAAGTTCTACCGTACTAAGGAAACACTGTATAATGGGCCAGTTAGCCAATCAGTTAGGGTTTTATTCAACGACTACTATTGCAGTTGTAAGAAGACATATATCCACTCCGGTTATACTTTTTATCAAGAGACTAGACTTAACAAGAAAACATTAATTTCTCGATTTGGGGTATACTCATCTTAAATTTGTTAAAAATGCCAGTGTGATATTACATTTATAGTAATATCAGTAAATGCGTATTTTTTGGATAGCTTACCACTAGAACTTATTTTAAGTATAGAAATAAATTATACGAAATCTCTCTCCCTGGAGACATCTTTTCAAGTTTGAAATTGATATTTCTTTTAAAAGCATGTAATATAGACCATTTCATTAGAAAGACAACTGAACAACAACAAATTAAGTGTTAAAAAACAATCTGAACACGATTTTACAAGGTATTTTATTCTTGCTTTATCAAGGTTCTTTACTAAGATTCACTATATTAATAAGACCGCCGAAAACATTACAATGTCTTCAAATACTCAAATAATCAATACATACATAATTTACTTCATTTAGAGCAGTGTGAACCGTTTCCAAATATATTAATTTCATTTACTTCTTAATGAAAATGTTTACGCTGCCTAAGCATCATATAAAATAAAATAATAATATTAATGATAATATAATAACTTAAAGCGAAAAACTTTATTTATATATTTAATTAATCAGAATAGTATTTAAAGTTCATATGCTATGCATCTGTAATTCATAATATGCTACAATCACTAAAAGAGACAAAGAATTCTTATTTCTTATTCCTACTCAAATTATTATTAAATATTAAATCTTTTTATTAAATATTCTTATTTTAATTATGTGCAAAACAACCTGAGAAAAAAATATAAAAAAGTGCTTACTAACTGCAATAAAAAATTTTTAAATATTTAAAAAAAATTTTTGTACGTTCATAAATAAAAATATATGCAAAAAATTATTTAAATGTTTATGGATAACATAATTATTTAGATTTATACTTTATTTAATATTTATTTTATTATTTTATATTAACTTTTAATTTATTATATTTTATTATGTAATAATCTTATTATCTCGTATTATAATTATATATTCTGTATTATTCTGTACTTTTATATTTATTTCTTTATATTTATATTATTTTACTTTTTTTTTTATAAATTATTTATTTATTTTTTTCTTGTTTATGTATATATATACATATATATATTTGTAAAATATAAACTATGTATATTTTTTAGCACAAATAACTCAATGGGACTTAATTATTTATGGAACTGAGAAACCTGCACAACCAAATGATCCCGCGCCAATAAGTCCGGTACAGTTTAGTCCTTTCGGAGGGGATGATATATCACGCAATGAAATCGATGAACCAAATGCATTTTATCAGAATGGAAAATGGAGGCAACAGGTAAAAGAATTTATTTATGTTTCTCGTCATTTTAAACATATTTGTATCAAATATTGATACAAAAACTTAAATTTATTGGTATGAAAATAATGTAAGAGAAGTGATAATTTGTATTTCAATTTACTAATTTAAGAGATAGATTTTTGAACTGTGTAGTGCGTTAATTATCTTCATAGAAAATGATATTATCCTATACACCAAAAACTTGTTTCGATTGCACTAAAATGTTTAAAATATAATCTAAATTTATTATTTTACTACTTTAAAGAAAATTTTAAACAAAATTCCTTTATCCTGCCAAAAACAGATTCAAACTAATACCTAAGGAAGCTAAAGAGTATTGTGAACTGATACTTAGCCTCTTGTTTTGATTAAAAATCATAATCATAATTCATAGTGATAAAAGGATGCAGAGAACTACTTTTTATCTTTTCAAAATGCTGCAGCTATTGCTGACTAATTCATATTCAAATGTCATAATGCTTAATGAAACACCTTGAGCTTCTGTCAAATCTCTTTGATCAACTTATCGTAGGTAAATTGATAAGTATTACTTACTCCGCGTAAGTAATAAAAATGCATATTCTTTTGAAAAAATATATTTTATACTTCAATATAGTCCTCTTTTAGCTCGACACATCGTGTCCAACGATCTTTAACATTTGGATACCTTTTAAGTAATACAATTTATCAAGTCCTTCAAAATATACCTCAGTTTCCCATTCCACTTTATCATTCGATGCAAATCTCTCTCCCTAGAGACACCTTTTCAAAATTTGAAAACAGGTAATAGTCACTGGGAGCCAAATCTGCAGAATACGGCAGATGAGGAACCACTTCGTACCGTAATTCATTTACTTTTGCCATGGTTTTCATTGACGTATAAGCGGATATGTTATTCTGTAAAAACAAATGTGTCTTCGACAAATGTGATCGTTTGTTGATTTCCTCATTCGATCGATCCATGAGATTTTGTTTAATTTATTTAATAGCTTCTATTCTGTGGAATAAATCTCTAACTGTGGTTAATTTGTAATAGCAAAGATAAAATAAATAGAGTTCTGTAATAAACTAACACTAAATATCAACAGTAGCGTTATAAATATTATAATTACGGTGGTACCAGCAACACAAAAGATAAATCATGGTCGTGGTGGTCCGCACCATTGGGAACTAGAACCCTGTAACCAATTTAAAAGATTTTTTTAAATTATCTGTAGTATATTTAACTTTGATTAAAAACATTTGATACAAAATCAGAAGTAATGTATACAATGTATTGGTCTAAAAATAAAGAGAATAAATTTAAAATTTAAGTATTATTGATAGAATCTAAAATACTTTATTTTTCATTTAGGCAAAAACAATTTTAAGTCAAAAGATTAAACGCAATCAAAGCAAAATAATGCAATATTTTACAGTCCGTCATATTATTTCATCACAGCAATAAAATTATGCATTTTTATTCAATTTTTTCTTATATAGATTTAAATTTTTTCTTCCCTTTACTTTGCTTCCGCTTCCGCCATTACTATTGCTGGCTTCCAGCAGTCGACGAGCAGCAAATACTAAAGGCAGTTTAACAGAACTCAACAAATGCATCCTTTTTTCACTTCAAGCACTTACTCGTACTTTGTCTTTGATTTTATTTGTAGAGTTGTTGCTAAAATATTCTAAAATACTATATACAAATATGTGAGTGTCTATAATAGAGATATATGTACGTATCCATATATCACCATGAAAATATTTCGCTTGCAACGACAAAGTGGCTTGCATGCAATTTCTGAAAACAGTCCTCATAAATAACAGAAAACGAAAATCTTGGAATAGGTTCGTCGATAGCGTACAGTGGGCTTAATACCCGCTTTGGTTATGCTTAATGCAACCAGTGGAGCCATAAAGGTTATTAAACTTTTGGTTTATTGCAATTCAACTAAACTATCTAAAAAGCAGCAAGAACAGACGTACACTCGTTTGACATGAATGCCTTAGCAGCGTAGCCAGCCAAACAGACAGCGGAACTAAAAATTCTTTGTGCAGAAACTCTGAAGGCTTTGAATATCGTAAAAAAATTCAACAAAGCTCTATGAAAAATTGAACAAAAAATTTACTCAATTAAGGTTATTCCTTCATCACCAATAGTTGAATACCCTACACTTTCTACACAAATATTTTTAGTTATATTATATAGAATATATGGTTGGCTAAAAAATTTGAAAGCGACACCCATTAACGAGTAGAGGAATCAAAACGTATACGCCATTTTGACATTTCATCTTTCATCTGAACACACTCAGATGTTTACTTCGATCTGTCAATCCAGTCTTTTTTTACAAGCTATTCTACACAAGAATCTGACGTGTAGCGCAGTAATAAAATTCTTTCTCTCAGAAGGTTTATCAGTAACAGAAATTCCTACCAAAATGGTAATTTTCAATTAGTAAAAATACTTATTTTATTAAAAAAATCGCCACTTTTTCAATTTTGCTTTCAAAACTCAAACGAACCTGTACAATAGCTAGAAATCACTTGGAAGATAAGCTCACTTAGGCTCTAACATGTATATCTACTTCTTTAGCTGCAATACCACAGAAAATATTAAAGCACGCTAGCTGATTTATGAAATCTTAGATGGTAGTACCCCAAATCCTTTTAATTTTTAGATAAATATATATTGAATTGCTCGGAAAGGCATTTTGTTTGTTTTCGTCCAACAGAGGATGGAAGTGTATTTTTTCGCAAAAAACTTCACATTTAAACCGTTTTGTATTATTCATTTTAACAGCTAAATGAGCTCAGCTGATTGCTAGTGACAAAAGGTGTTTAATAATAATTTTATTAAAAGTCGAAAGTAAAATTTTTGGCATATTTTTTTACTCTCAAAAAAAGCATATTCAGCCAAAAAAAATTATTCGATGTATATGAAACAGATATACTGTCAGAATTCTAGTACCAAGGGATTATCTGCAACATTGCACAACGCAAAACATAATTTGAGTAAAATGATGACCCGGATTTTTTGAAAGCCGATACCTATTAGAGTATTTTATGTAAGTCATTGTTCACTCCAATATACTTCTTTAAGGTGGTATTCCTATTTTCCTATTTCCTGATAGATTAATGGTAAATATTTTACTCTATACGTACATATATTTCGGTATTCTTTTTTTTTCATAACATCGCCAGTTTTAATCACTGTTACTTTAAACATTTAATTATTATATCGCTATTCGTGCGGCTCATCTTTTAATATTATCATTACTAGTCGATTTATTTTGTTAGATAAATTTTAGATGTATCGTATGTGTTTTATTTTGGAATATCAAAATATATCCATAAACTTATTTAGCATATTTACAATACAAATATACAGCCTATATCAAAAACATAACACCTATAATACCTATAACAGAGGTATTATAATTATAATTGCTTAAAAACCTTTATAACATATGTAACGTTTATTTAGATAGAAATTAACTACTAGTACATGTAAGACAGAGAAAAATCAGTAGAAGTAAATTTAAAGCTACCAAATGTCTGTATTGATGGTATGTTTTAATATTACGTTTATTCTAACGATTTTTGTCTTAGTTTCCATAAAGATAAAAAAGAGGATTAAGGACAGCCTTTTTATACCCAATCAAATTCTAGTTCTTCGGCTCCGATCAAATGAAAAGAGAAATACAACCCATACCAGATGTTCATAAAATCACTCTTTCCCTTACTAATTTCTATGCTGGCTTCTAAGGAGTTTATTGTAGGGGGTTTATATTATTCTGGATGCTGAAGCAACTACAGCACTGTAGACATTTATTTGTAAGTGATATCAGATATTATTCTAAATACACAACAAACTTCAAGCACACAATTCTTAAGATTCTAACAGAGCAATAAATATGTATAGACCTATATAATAAACCGTGATTTCAAATTTAGTAAAAATATGTTCAATATATTCGAAATTTAATTACTTGTATATATATTTAGTTTTACAATTAGTGTACGGTAATACGCATACTTTTTTATTAATAGATTTCGTTTGAGCCATTAAACTGCAATGTATCTTCATACTTTATAGTCAGAAACTACCCAAATATTTTGCTTTCCCGAACATAAAAGAATTGTTCAGTTTTTTTTTTCTACCATTTCTTTTTTTATAAAAAGTTTGATAGATATTTTGATGAAATTTTCTCTAAGCAAAGAGTTCAAGGGAAATAACAGTTAAAATTGTGTCTACTTTCTTCATAGGCATTTAACTTCCTCAACAACAAAAAAAACACGAATAAAAACTCAGATTCGAAATTCCAGCAAAGACCGTTGCACAAATTAAAACACTTGAAACTCTTTGAATAAAAGCTGAGTGAAAACAAACTGCGGATATTTGCTTTGATATCGAAAAATCTTTAAACGCATTAGTATCTTTTCATTGCATTTAAAACATTTTCATCAAATTTTCAGAGAAAATGACTTTCAAAAAACAATTAAACTAGTTTAAATTTTAATTATTTTACCATCACTCTATCACTATCTCTAGTCGTCGTCAGTGCCCAACTAAAAGGGGTTCAGTTTTTTAAAAAATATTATATCGGCTTCTACTGTATCCAATATTGAATGCAATATTTTCCTTATAACCTTTAAATCTGCTATTTTCACTTAAGGATGTCAGGTGTACTGTTATTCATCTTATATGTATGCGTTGATATAGCGGATAAAAGTTTCCTAATTTACAGCTGCTCCAGTTCTACTCAGTATTATAGCACATTTTAAAGGTGTGATCTTCGAACTTCAAGGGCCATAAATTTTCATTCAAAAATAGTTAGCTGCTTATAGTGTTAAAACTTGTGTGCATAACTCAAAACCGTAGGTGAGAAATGGGTGTACTAGCAATTTTTATAGTTTTATATAGTTTTCAACATTCTATTAGTATTCAACAAAGCCATAAAGCATGGGATTTGCTTCAATCAATCAAATTAATCAAAAAGAACATACAAAAA